ATTTTTTTTAATTCGAAAATTATTCAAATTATTTTGCAAATATTTTTTAAAAATGAACGAATTACGACCAAATTAAATTAAGCAAGCCAGTTTGCAAATAATTTGAAAATCGCTTCAGATTCTCGAGTGCACCAAAAAGTTAAAGCAGGATATTGGGGTTCTGTTGCTTCATGTGACATACCGTATAGGACTTTTGAAAATATGCTCCAAAATATTCAAAAACTTGATGAGGTTATCGCTCTATTCGTTCATCTTACTGCTTTGCAAAAATTTCTCTCATATCTGCCTCTTTTGATAATTTGAAAATAGTAAAAGTTATTGTTACCTCAAAATTGTTATAGTTATTTTTAATTTACCAAATGCAATGCTCGAGTAGTTCTGTCCTTCACATAATCTCAAATATAACAATGTCAAATCACAATAATACTATTATAGCCTTGTCTAATTTTTTTCAGTTATTAAATTCTGAGATTATATATGTTTGTTTCACTGCACTGTAATTAATACTAAATTCATTAGAGTTTGAAAAAAGCAATGCTCAGTTGAAGAATCTCAGTGATACTTTTAAAAGTTTTGCATGATTAGCAATAATCCCACTCCATAGCATGAATTCACTTTCTAACTTTTGATTCTTTATAAGTTTTTGAATCTGTTTTCGATAGCATCAAGAATTTCAGATTGATTATATTATGGTTGGCGGTGACTATGAATCACATTCAGATTGGACGTATACAAAAGAAGGTCATTTGGAGACTATTCGTAATATTTCAGTGCTTTTGCATGGTTACTTCCCCAATATACCAATATTTTGGACATTGGGTAATCATGAAGGTGTTCCAATCGACAGGTTGAATTTTGTGGAAATATTGATATAAATACTCCAACTTTTTTACTACGTTTGAATGAACATCTAATTTTTTGATGACTTAGACTAAAAACTGATTGAGTTTCAGAGTAAAATTTTTTGCTGATACCGAAAATGTGAAATTGTTTTTTAGCAGATCCTTAGATCATCAAAAAATCAGAGATGTGGTCAGTGATATCCGACTTTAAAACAATTTTTGTATTTAAATAGTTTAATAAATTTATTGAATAAAAACTGTCTGCTTGCAGTTTTCCACCCCATTTCATCCCTGAGAAATACCGTTCTCAGTGGCTATACGATGAGCTCTTCGATTTGCAAAAGCCATTTCTAAATAACAGTTCAATGCAAAGTACTAAATAGTAAGTTTCAAATTTCAATACGAATTTTTAAGCTTTAATTGTCCGACACTAATACTTTGCAATTAATTCTAGCCGTGGCTCATATATGGTTCAACTTTATCCGGGTTTAAGATTAATATCACTGAATTCAGGTTACTGCGATACTGTAAATTTGTAAGTTATTGTTCCATTCTATTGAAGATCAGTAATGTTTTTATTGATTATCTGCTTTAATAAACAAGTTTTTTCAAAGTCTTTTTTACATTAGT